AATACAGTAGGGTGCTCTCCGTGGTAAATGTTAAGATGTTGAGTGACATCCTGAAGATAAGGCCTTTATTTTTTATTTGCATATGTATACATAACCATATGTATACTAGATGTGCATCAAAGATGATGATCTTGTCCTATATCTTAGTAGACACAATTTATAATTTACTAATTTTTCAGCATTGACTACTGAAAGGTAATATTTACTCTTTTTATGAATTTCTATCCCCCTTCCCAGGAGTTTGTCTACATGAGTTAGGGCATTTTAAGTAATTCAAAGAAAGCACAAACAATACAAAATAAATTTCCACATGTAATAGTCATTTAAAGCCCTCCCTAGTGTACCAAAGTAGCACCTAATTCACCTAAACGTTGAAGGATAAAATTCTAAAAAGATTAAAATGATCAAACAGAAAACTTACAGTAAAGTTTAAGAAGTTGAATTAAAATTACTTTTTACTCCTTGAGTATTCCCTGACAACACTTTAAGATCTTCAATAAAAAATCTTCATTGTTAATAGTAATAAATATTCTTTTTAAATATTTAATATTTAATCTGTATTTTTAAAGGTTTTATTCATTTATTTTTAGAGAAGGGAAGAGAGGGAGAAAGAAAGGAAGAGAAACATCAATGTGTGGCTGCCTCTCACACGGCCCCCACTGGGGACCTGGCCAACCCAGGCATATGCCCTAGACTGGGAATCGAACCGGCAACTCTTTGATGTTGTATTTTTTTTACATTACCTTTTAGTCCCCTTACAACACCCTCTCTGCAGCAATTACCACACTGTTGTCCATGTCCATGAGTACTTTCTCCTTTTTTCAATCCCTCCACTGCCCTAAACCCCTCCCCCCGCTAGCTGTCATCCTAGTCTCCATCTATGAGTCTGTGAAGTAAATATTCTAAAATATAGCCAGGCTGGTGTGGCTTAGTGGATTGAATGCTAGCCTGCAAACCAAAGTGTTGCCAGTTGGATTCCCAGTCCGGGCACATGCCCGGATTGCGGACCAGGTTTACAGTTGGGGGTGTGTGAGAGGCAACCACACACTGATGTTTCTCTACCTCTCTTTCTCCCTCCCTTCCTCTCTCTAAATAAATAAATAAATAAATATTCTAAAATACTTTGACAGATGTTAAGGATTAAATGAAAATTTAATCCTGGTCCTGGCTGGCGTAGCTCAGTGGATTGAGCTCGGGCTGCGAACCAAAGTGTCGCAGGTTCGATTCCCAGTCAGGGTACATGCCTGGGTTGCAGGCCATGACCCCCAGCAATCACACACTGATGTCTCTCTCTCTCTCTCTCTCTCTCTCTCTCTCTCTCTCCCTCCCTTCCCTCTCTAAAAATAAATAAATAAAATCTTAAAAAAAATAAAAAAGAAAAAAAGAAAAAACTCACTTAAAAAAAATTTAATCCTTACAATAGCTGTTTATAAGAAGTGCTTTTACTATCTCCATTATTGTTTTTCTTTATTAATAATGAAGAAACTGAGGTGCAGTAGGGTTAAGAAACTTGTCAAAGTCATAGTTGGTGAGGTAGTAAGCTACTAGAATCCAAACACGCTGATTTTACAGCCTACACTAGGCACATTTATGCACTAAGATACAGCACTGCTCACATGCAGGTAACAGCCTATCTCTAAGTGTAGTATATACCATTTTCCTCCATCTTTAACGACAATACTGATAGTATGTGATGGTTATAATAAATAGCCTTCATTTTCACAACACTCTGGAAAACTTAAAAACCTTTCAAGGGAAGGATCTAGGACTCCAAGCCCATTATACCCAGTGTGAAATGTTCTATACTCTGCAGTTTACATAGGATAAAATCCTCGTGCCAGTGCTGAAAGGCTTTAGCATGAGGTTCGTTTAGCAAAAGAACTTACATCCAGGCTGACTGTATTTCCTGAGATCCTGAAGAATCCAAAGGACCTGCAATCAGATATGAAATTATATTTGTCCATACATCCTATCTTTCCTTCTGATTTTCTTCATTACCAGTAAATCATATTAACTTCAAAGCTGACCTTCTAAATACAAAAGCTCTTGATAGGTACCAAATTCATGGTACAAAGTACAAGTTAATAGAATCTTAAGAATTTACATGTGTCACTGAAAGACAAAGTGCTGGAAAACAATGCACTAAACTACAGAGATTTTTGCCCTGGCTGGTGTGGCTCAGTGGATTGAGTGCTGGCCTGGAAACTGAAAGTTCACCAGTTCAATTCCCAGTCAATGCACATATCTGGGTGGCAAGCCAGGTCCCCAGTCGGGTGCATGTGAGAAGCAACAGACTGATGTTTCTCTCTCTCCCTTCCCCTATCTCTCTCAAAATAAATAAATCATATCTTAAATGCAAAGTGACTCCTATTAACATTATTTTTCTCTTCCCATTGGCTTGATGCTTCTCCTCAAAAATCCTGTACCTACCCACAGAATTCCAGCTTCAAGGCTCTCTACCTACTTTTACCACCTTCTATGTCCGTCTTACTGCTCTGACTTCTCCCTTAAAAGTTCTTCTTTCCTGGCCCTGACTGAGTAACTCCATTGGTTAGAGTATTGTCCAGATACTCCAAGGTTGCAAGTTCAATCCCTGGTCAGGACACATACAGGACACAATGAATGAATGGAGAAGTGGAACAACAAAATTGATATCTTTCTCTTCCTCTCTCTCTCAAATCAATAAATAAAAATTAAAAAGAAAAGGTTATTCTTTTCCTTGAAGCCTTTACCTCCCTTCACCCCATCAGTTCCATCAAGGTCTGCAGGAGTGGTAAGCTGAGTGGCAGACATCTCCCCACTGCTAAGGTTCAAAAGATCAAGGCAACGTTTTGGGGTTCCTCTGTTGAGACATAATAGCGCATCAATATTCTCATTAGGATGTAATATTCATAAAAGGAAAAGATTACATTATCCTCAATAGAAACATCCCTCGATGATTATCACATAATCTGAACAGTGTCTGTATGAATCCAATTGCTTTTCACAATTTTTCAGACTATGCTGAGAAAATCTCCCACCTTTTCTCTTCTGTAGTAATCTGTGCCTTATTTTCTCCTCACCAACATACTGAAACAGTAGGGTTTTTGTTTTTTTTTAATTGAAGACCAAAGTTTATTGACTGAGCTGGACCTAGACCCCACATCTTCTGCTCTGTACACCATGAGCACACCGATTCGACTTCTCCCTGGAGTCTCTAGTACTTCTCTAGTCTATAACTCTCAAATTTTGCTAGCTAAAGCATTAGATAGGGGTGTCAAACTCATTTTCACCAGGGGCCACATCAGCCTCGCAGTTGCCTTCAAAGGGCTGAAATAATTTTAGGATGACATAAGTATAACTACTCCTTCACTGTTAAGGAGTTGAAATTGCATTCGGCCCTTTGAAGTCAACCTCAAGGCTGATGTGGCCCCCGGTGAAAATGAGTTTGACACCCCTGCATTAGGGCATAGCATAGCCAACATTTAAAGTACAATAACACTAATATTAGTACTAGTAAAGTGACCAACTCATATAATGCCATTGAGTTTTCACACACTTTTCCCACACATCACACCATTTGATTCTCACAAGATCCTAGTAAGATAGAAAGATTATTTCTGTCACAGAAAAGAAGCTTGAGTATCAAAAGGGTCTCAGAGTCCAGAATTAAGACTTAAATTTAGGTCTTTGAGCCAGGGCAATTTCTTTTTTAAACTCAAAAACCATTTAGAAAAGCAAAGGAGATAAGGTGTGAAAGGTGGATTTACCCAGACAAAATACTTAGGTTTGCAGAATCACCAAAGAGATTGTTCACTGGCGTTCTTGAGAGATCTGGACAGGTAGTAAAGGAAGTGTCTCTCTCCAGGAGCAGGTTTAATATCTTCCTTTGATGGGACCTAAAACTAGGTCTTGCACCAGGACTTCCCTCCTCTCTTGTGGATGAATTGAGTTCTGCAGACATAGTCTCCGAGTGCTTACTAAGAAAAAAATAAAACCCAGCTTAGAGGGTTTTAGAACGTCATCTAAATGGGCACGTCACAGACGGTCTGGCTTTCACAACCTCCTCCACCCTTCCCAGCCGCGGACCAGTGGATGTGGGTCGGTATTGGAGGACGGGCAACCCCAAACGGTGAATCAGTCACCACTTGGCTTGAAGATTAAATCACACTTGCCCGAAAATGCTTGGCCTTTTCGTTGGAACGTGAACTTACCGAGAGGAAACCTCAGAGTTTTAAAGCAAAAATGAAAAGAAGGCTTTGACTTGTACGGGACCACACAGCTCGTGACTCCACACCCGAAAGAACTCAGGTCTCTTAACTACCGACCTTAGGGCCCGTAAACTTCTGTTTGTGGGGCTCCGACTGCTTGAGGGGAAATGGGTCTCCGGGATTTCGGCGGAGACGGCTCCGGTCTTACCTCAGGTCTGAGTCTGAGATGTACCTTCAGGAGAAACGGAAGTGAGTGGGGGTCAATCACAGTGAAGACTTGAACAGAATTAAAGAAATTCTGGGGAAAGAAGGCAATTAACCACACTGCAATTCTACTTCTCGACTGGATAGGCCGGGGTCAGTAATTGCCGTTTCTCTCCTCAGGGCCTCAGAGCTGAAGTATCAACAGCCACAGGGCTTCACCATTCAAACCTTCCGCCCTCCCAATAACCTATCCTACCCTCCTCTAAGATGAATCAGCCAATCTTCGCGCGCCTGCCCAGAACTCTCTCAGCCAATCGTTTGGCTCGTCCATCACCGGGGGCGTGAGCTTGCGTTGAAAGGAGCAAAATTTACCCCGCCCCTCAGCCAGAGCAGGATGTCGATTGGCCCCCCAGCGTTGGGCAAACCGCTTAATAAGCCCCGCCCCACACAAGTCTCGAGCACCATTGGCTTTCCCTGTGGCCAATCGCCTCTCCCACCCTGATCTTTCCCTTTGCTCTGCCCCTCGACCCCGGGAGATTTAAGTTGCACCTCGCTAGGGACGTCCTGTGCTTAACTTAGTACCTGGAGGAATTAACCTGGATACTAGCGTGTTTTAGACGTTTCTTTTTCCTTGCTTTTCTCTCGTGTATTATACAGACTTTTCCCTCTTAGCTAGTCTTCCGCTGGAGATGGAACATTTGCCTTGGGTGTGGCAGATGCTGGGGCGTGGCAGGTGTGTGTATCTGCGCTAAGCGGCATTGGGCCCTTCCAAAAGCTTTCCTAGTTAAGACCTCTATTTTAGTGCGCAGCATCTAAGACGCTAGGTTATGTGAGTAAAGGAAATTCCTTTTCAGGGAAAGCAGGGGAGTTGAATTATCTCTTGGCATAATCCTTATCACAGTCCAAAGGATCTCAAAATTTGGTTGTTTATGGAAATTTGAACATTAATTAGGTGATATTAAGAATTTATTCTTAATTTGGGGACTTGCTTTTAAGTAATCCTGTAGAGTGGTGGCAGGTATAGATGAAACAAGATCGACCTTGAGTATTGGGAGATGGTTAACTGGGGGGGTCCATTTTATCAGTGCTCTCAAAATTTAATCTGCGTACTATCACCTGGGGATCTTGTTAAAATGCAGATTCTGATTCAGTACATCTGGGTTGGAGCCCAAGATTCTTCTAAAAAGTTCCCAGCTGATGCTTTGAGTACTATATTTGAGTAGCAAAATATTATGTTAATCTCTTTACTTCTCTGTATATTTGAAATATTCCGTAATAAAAAAGGTTTAAAATAACCTTGGAAGCTCTTTAAAATATAGGCCTCCAAATGATGATTCAATAGGTCTAGAATGGGGCCCAGGAATTATCAAGGTCCTCAGATACTACCCATGCAGGTGCCTTGTAGACTACACTTTGAAAAACAAATTAGAAATGCAACCTTTCTCTTTGGGAAACAGTAAGTCAGAAATACAACCTTTAGCTGATATCAGGATCTTGGTGGTGGTAGTGGCTGAAAGGTGCAGTTTAGTTAGCTGGGACCAATACTCTCTTCATCTAGTATCTACTTCCCCAGGAAGGAGCTGTGTGAAGAGTCTTTGACCTCTAGGATAGAGATGGTGAGTGTGGGAGTCAGCACTGAGCCCTACCATGCCAGGTGAGTTTGAAAATCAGGCTGGGGATTAATGGAGTGTGGGATGAGTTGGTTTCTGCTTTGATAACTACATTCATACTTCATGTGACCACCATATACTTCCCCACAGGTGGGAGGTAGAGACAGATGAAATTGTCCTACAGCGGCGGCAAAAGCAGATAGATTATGGCAAGCGCACACCTGGTTACCAGTGCTTTCTGCAGCAGGTCCCCAAGTGAGTACAGTTGTGGATAGTCACAACAGGAGTGTCAAGTGGCTTTGGTTCAATGTCAGATGATAAAAATATAGTAGAATCTGAGTGGTCTCACACACTTGCAGTATTACAAAAACAAATTCTCCTGCAATCTAGCCATGAGGTTAATTTTCCAAGATTTTTTTTTCAAATGGAACAAGTCATGCATAATATTTTTTTAAAAAATCTATCTTTAAAAAACAAAAACCCTCTATCCATGTTTGCTAATGAAATTTTTTTCTTTCCAATCATTTTTACCTCATGCCTCCAGCTGACTTGGCCAACTGCAATATATTTGCCTAATTATATGTAAGTTTACATACATATATACAACCTAAATGTATGAAAAGGTAGAATGTATTAAAAGGGATGCCAAATACTGTCTTTTATATGTATTTTGACTTCTGAGGGAATTGGAATATTTAATTTACCCTTCCCAGATGAAAGAATATTGGAGAGTTAGGAAGTTTGGTGTTTAGTCTGATTTGAAGATTTATTTTTTTCTGTCACACTGAGGGCTTTGATCGTACCTTATTCTCTGAGAATCCTTAATGAGCTTCCTGATTCACTGTGATAAGCAGCGAGCTGTACCCTTTTACCTTGACCTCAGTCTGACTCATATTTGTTGTTGTCAGGGCACAACGACAGCCGGGACTTCATCCTCAAACACCAAACAAAAACAGAAGGTACAGCCGCCGCTCCTGGGATGCCCAGATCAGGCAGTGGAGAAGAGCACTACATTCCTGGGACCCCCCTAGCCAGCCTCTGCAGGGCAGGGGGACTGAGGGGTATGTGCCCTATTCTTGATTCCTTTCCTGAGTGGTAGACTGGGTCCTACCTCTCCCCATTTTGCAGAGTTTTAACTTTTACTGGTTGGAAAGGGAGACTCTGAATGAGGTGTATGTTCCTCTAACTCTTCTGCCTCCCTAGGCAGGGAATGGAGAGTCTCTTAGAACCAATGGATTCCACCCCTTTGGATGATCTTCTGGATTACTGGCTCCAGCCCCTGGAACCCTCAGAGAATCTGGATGGAGACCGGAAGGGAGGCCAGGTAGTATCCTCTGCTGAAATTCCTCCCTTCCCTGGCGCTGAAGATCCCCACCACTGGTTTTACTTTCTAACTAATCACAGTTACTTATTTGTCCCAGATTTGAGTGGGGTACAAAATACTTAGGGAAAACAAATATCTTTCAAAGGAGTTATTGCTAGGTGCAGGGTCAGAATGAGATGGGGTCTGGTCCATGAGGTCACAATTAAGATGGGGTTCAAGGCAGTATTCCAAGAACAAAAGAAGGAAAATACAGCAGCAGGAAAAAATAGCATGATGTGAGTAAAAAACAAAACAAAACAAAACAAAAAACTCGAGAACTAAAAGTGGCATCATAAGAATATTTAATTACAGTTTACAAAGGGGGGAGTTGAACTTCACTGGGGGCTATTTTATACTTGATGAAAGAGGCATAATCTTTTAAAGTGAAGCCTAAAACCTGACATGCAGGGTTTATTTTTTAACTCTCAGTTTCTTCCAATGTTTTGTAAAAGAGGCAATGTTAACTTAACCTCTTATACTCAATCATGTAACTTTAGTAAGCATGGTTAATAATAAAAAGGAGGATCATCTAGTGGTGAAGACCTAGGGTTTTAGAACCTCAGACTGCTTTTTTAATACTACCTTTGTCTACAACATGGGAAGTCACTTAACCTCTCCAGCCATTTCATTTGTCAAATAAGAAGATTTGTAAGCAAAAATGAGAATACATATTTAAAGTATGTACCATGATGCCTGGCACATAGTAAGTGCTCCACAATAGCAATTATTGGAAACCATGTCTCCTGTAACTTTATGACCCCTGCCAGTTCTTTTGTCAGGAGGAAATGTGCAGGGCAAGGAAATGTGAAGTACACCTTCCCTTTGCCCCATTTTCTTGATAAGTACCTAACTTTCCCTTTTCTTTTCCAGTTTGTAGACTTGGTGGCTCCTGACTCCTCCCTTCCCTGGCTCTGTGAAGATGACACACACTGGTTCTACTTTCTAACTAATCACAGTTACTTATCTGTCCCAGACCTGAATGGGGAACAAAATATTTAGGGAAAAGATATCTTTCAGGGGACTTGTTGCTTAGTAGTGAGAATTTACTTGCATGACTGCTACTTTCCAATTGATTAAAAAATAAATATAAAATCCTGCTCTACAAAGAGATCACAACACGAATGCATTGTTTGTTTAAAGCCTCTTCTTTTCCATGTTTTGCCTCTCTCTCTAAACCTTCTTTGGTAGATGAGACTCAGATTTACATAAGAACCAGAAACCATCTAGTTGTTTCCCAACCTCTTCATCTACTAACGTCTTCGTCCACATTCAGTCTCTTCAAAAATGACTTAAACTTTGGCTGAGGTGGGAGGTAGTGGCAATGATGGCAATTTAATAAAAGGTGATTTATTCTACCTGAAAAGGAAATACAACACCATCAACATATTTTCTCCATCAGCCTGTTTCCTCCCTCACGGTCTTAAGAAAAGTAGTCCAGCTGTAACCACCGTACTCCCCCTACCACCCCCCACGCGATCTACTGAACCGCCTATGATGTCATAATCACAATCCCATTACCTCATCCTGTTGGGGGGGGCGGTGCGTAGAGGGAGGAGAAGGAGTGAACAGCCCTGGGCCCTCCTCAGCTTTACAAAGTGTTTTGGGTGAGGGCTAATTACAAAACGAAATGGGAACAGCACCCCAACTGTTTTAAGGACTAGGTTTATAAAGGCTCGAGCCGATCCGGCCGCTGGAATAAGGGCTCCTGGGACTCAGAGCAGGCCCTAATCGGTGCTGGGACTACACTTCCCAGAAGCCTCCACGCCGCGGACAGGTCCTCTGCTGGGGGAAGGGGGATTCCTTCAGAGAGGCGGCTGCAGAAGGTGGGGCCGGAGAGCAGGTGAGAGGGACCTTGGCGAAAGCTTTTACGCGGTCCGAACTTATTAGAGGACTGTACTTGGGCCGGTGTAGAAATGCAGGGCGGAGGCGACAGCTTTGTTTACCTTCGTCGGACACTGCCTCCCCCGCGGGTTTCGTGATATTCCTCTAACTGGGCCGGTCTACCTTCCGCAATATTTTGTAGGGGGCGACTCAATAGTGAGGAAACCGCACTCATCCTTACATCAAAGAGCCGGGCTCCTTCCCGACAGTATTGTCAAAGAAAGAGTTTGAGAGAGAAACAGCGGGAGTCTAGAGCCTTCGCGGACGGTTCAGGGGGGCGCTGTGAATCGGAGAGGTTCCCTCACTCTCCTGAGAGGCCCATTGGTTCGCGCCGGCGCCTTTTAAGGGCACCGTGGGGCGAACCGAGCGCTCAGAGCTGCTTCGGCCGCGGCCCTGGGAGCTGAAGGAGCCGCGGTAGGTGGCGGAGGGCTGGTGGCTCTTGGGCCTCGGGGTGGGCACCTCGGCCTCCGCTCCCTCCTTCCCTCTTTCCCTGACCCCAGCCCTGCAGCCCGCGCGGCGTGGCCTCGGTGTCCGCCTCCGCGGGGAGAGCACGGGACCCGGTGGGGGAGGGGGTGGCTGAGTGCTAAGTCCCATACCCTCTCCATCCCCTGCGTCCTGAGTTCTCTTCCATGGCCAGACGATGGAAGCTAATTGGGAAGAGGGGAGCAACGAGCCCCCTGAGTGAGCCCTGGCGCCCCCCCCACCACCACCACCGGGGGCCAGCGGACGCCCCATGCCCCACCCCGCGGGGACAGCCAGGGCAACCGAGGGAGAGGTTGAAGACTGAAGGGGGCCTAGCCTTTTGCTTCTTCATCCGTGTGGGGGGAGGGGTTCTTCCCACTTGTCACCCCTATCCCCACCAGAGCCATATGGGGGACGAGCAATCAGGTCCTCACTTACCAGTTCTTGCACCTCCCTGCTTCCCTCAGGTTTTCTTTCAGTCTCCCCCAGAGATGTGGGGCTGGGACCTGGGGGAAGGTCCCTAGGGATTGGTGACTCTCCTCCCCCTTAGCCTGACTTGATCCTAGGTTCTCCAGGTTTCATTACAACCTCAGCATCCCTGAAACCCGAATGTCTGGGGTTACTGCCATCCAATAGGAGATGGGGTGAGGGTCCAACCTTTATTTTAGAGGGCCGATGGTGGAGGGAAAGCCTGGATTGAGAGTTGGGCCTGATGGGGTTGTGGGGAGGGCCTTAGCGGCCTGCTGCTCTGTGCAAGGCTGAGCCCCGTGCCAGTTAAGCTGAGAAGTTTTAACTTGTTTAGTGAATGTTCAGGGCTCTCTACCTCCCAAATACACAAAATGGAAGGGGAAGGAAGGCGGCAAGAGAGGGCTTCTTGCACTTTTTTCTATGCCTGCCTGAGAAAGAGGAGGCCCCTCGCAGAGCTGGTTTGCCTTCTTTTGTGTCCTGGTTTGATTCCTTATGGCTTCCGTTCTGTTCCCCCTCTCAGCCTGGCCTGTTTTAGGAAACTCAGGCTGAGAGTATCAGTTGCGTGGTGGTAGTTGCATTGTTCCAATTACCGCCGTGTGTGGCCACATCCCAACAATTAAAATGCAGAAAAATACGAAATCACTCTCTTCACTGGATCCCAGAGAGGGTTGGGAGTTTGCTCTTTGGCCAGATACCTCATGAAAAGCTTGAAAGAGTTTTGCTTCACTCTTTGCTCCTCATGACTGGTCAGCCTGAAGCCTGGGGTCTTTGGGGTAAAAGCCTGCACTTAGGTTCCCTCTCTGGTTGATCTTTGAGGGTTGAGTTAAGAAACCAAGAGCAGAAGTTATAGAAGCTGTAGCTTCTCCCGCAAGAATATAGGGGAAGCAGCTGAAGGGAGCTCTCAGGAAGCTGGAACTTTGTTCAGGGTTGTAATAATTATACATGAAAATGATAGTTAACTATAATGATGATTGACTTCTCCCACACCTTTTTTCCAAAAAAACTCTTAAGTATATCCACGTGTAGTTCTTTGCTCTTCCATGTGGCCTGCCTCCCTCTGAGGTAGGAATGGGGTAGGGGTGATTCTCTTTTTTGTAAAAGTAGAAAGTGATTTTGCCCCCAAGGTCATAGAAGCCCTTTTGGGCTTCTCTCAGTTTTCAGGTGATGGAAGTTGATATCTAACCAAATACATAAATCCTGTTGCTTTTATCTTAACGATGTCATCACTTGTGGCATTCTGAGCCTCTGTAGAACGACAAACAGAGTGGTGAAACAGCCTGTGTGGACTCCTGGTTTGTATAGGCCAGATGGTATGCTTTTTACGTTTTGGTATTGTGTGCCTTGCTGCATGTGACAGATTCAGATTATTCAGTCTGTTCTACATGGTAAACTGAGACCCAGAAGGGTTAAGTGATTTGCTGAAACTGCTTCAGCAAATTGGATCAGGATTTTGGTTTCTTGATAGTTTGTTCTCTCTACTAGCAAATGCTGCATATACCCTCTGATGAGCTGTCTGCCTGCTGGTCATTTCTGGGAATAAATAGTAAGGAGACACAGAGGTTAACTTCCCCTCCTCCCTTAAGTAAGGCCCCTCAGGCAATAATATGGCCTTACAGCTTGTTTTCTGGTAGAATTAGTGTGTTTCTACCAAAATTGACCTGAGAAAGAATCTTGATTACTTGTATTCCTGGTCTTTGAGTCAGATCAGGCTAAAAACTTAGTTGAATAAAGTCATAGAGTAGTTGTTTTTAACATCTGTAGAGTTGGAATGTAATTGGAATTACACTGGTATTATTTCCTTATCCTCTTCTCATTTTATAAGAGAATATATGCAGTCTCTGTTGGAAAACTATAACATACCAGCTGGTCGGGCTAAGGAAGAACTTAAAACCTTGTTTACTCTTGTCTGAGGTAGAAAGTCACTCCTATAACCAATCCTCCTCCCTGTTCCTATTATTTCTGTAATTTAGGAGAAGGGTGCCTCTCTACTTCTAACTAGAAGATAAAGAAAATATTAGGCTAATGAGAATGGAAGTAACCATTTGGTCATCTCTCTCTTTCACTTGAACTGTTTTCTAAGTGGTGCTATTATTCTGGGTAGACAGCAAAGCATGACCCAGGTTAGGAGTAGCAAATAGGTTTCAACTTGCTTGCCAACTGCAATTCATTTTACTGAATATCTGGACTGTCAGACTTAGAATGTGTTTGAGGCTATGTGTAGGTTTAGCAGGAAAGAGCTGTGCTTTCTACTGACGTCTGCCAGAGGCCTGGCGTAAGGATGCTGTGGTATGTGTGCCATGCATTTTCCATCTCTGGACCAGGTACATCTCTAATATCACTTGGGGCTGGTCCCTCTGTAATTGGCAGACTCAGCAGGCATGACTGGAGAGGGAAGTCCCAATGGTGCTAGAATGGTGCTGCAGTGGCAGAAGACGGCTCACGAGTGAGGTGTGGAAGAACAACAGGGAAGACATCCATCATTTGCTCCAAAGTGTGCAAGTCAGATCCTGGGGAGAATCATGATAACCCTGATCACTGAGCAGCTACAGAAGCAGACTCTGGATGAGCTGAAATGCACACGCTTCAGCATCAGTCTGGTAAAAGACCAGTCTTCCTGCTTCTCTACGACCCCCTCCCCCTTTTTTCAGAGGCTCTTTGTTGGTACTACTTCACCCTTGTCCTGTGCTATATGAGTCATGATACTTGTACTGGAAGAGTCCACTAAAAGCTCAAAAAAAAACCCGCCCAGAAGGAAAGGGGCAGGGACTTGTCCACTGATAGAGAAGGGACACGAAAACTTGGGTGGAGAAGGGTTTGAGATATTGGAAGGTGTGCATTATTTTACTCACTAACTTCGGGAAGGCAAGAAGAAGAGAACACTTAGGAGTCCCTAACATCCCTCTAGCCCAGGAATTTCAGGGGTGAGCTGAACAGGGCTTCTTGGAGATCTGTATCCTGAACCTGAATCATGATGGATATTCTCTCTCTTAGCCTTTGCCTGATCATGCAGACATCTCCAACTGTGGGAACCCTTTCCAGCTTGTGTCTGGTAAGGTATTGTGTGTTTGCCTGTGTGTGTGTATGCCCATGCTTCCATCCACATACTTCTTTCATTGGTTTCCAGTGACTAGGACTAGGTGTCCTATCTCCACAACTTTCTTGCCAAGGTCACCTCCTGAGATTGGCACTGTCTCTATTTGATATATCATTATGTAATGTTGAGTATTTCCTGGTTTTGTGTAGCTCTATGTTATTGCATTGTAGGGATGGACCATAGTTTAATCAGTCTCCTATTAATGCATATTAGGATATTTCCAAACAAAACCATAGCGAACAGTCCTGTACCTGTGTCATTTTGCACATGTGAAAATGTGTCTGAGGCATAAATTCCTAGATTATGAATTATTCAGTAAAGGGCCCGTGATCATGGGGCATCTGGGTGGAGCTGTCACTGTTGTACAGCCAGAACTCTGGCCCATGCTGCTAGGCTGCTGTGCAGCTCATTCCCTTTTTTGGGATACCTGGCAAGGGAGGTCAATTGTCAAAATCATCTTCATTCAACTTCTTCCTCTGATTTATTAAATACTTGCTGAGAGCCAGGAACTGTGCAGTATATACAGAACAGGACATATGGTCCCTGTCCTCTTAGAGGTTAGCAGGGGGCAGAACTGTTGACCAAAAATGTGAAGTGTAGATTTCCTCCATTGTCAAGTATGACTTCATATACTTATTAGTTGTTCCAAATGTCTAGCCCCTGCAGAATTACAGTCAGCTAGCCAGAGGAACTTGGAGTAGGCCCTATGTCCCTTAATGAGCTGCCTCCTAAAAGTCAGGGTTTTGGTTAGAAAGTAGTGAGAATTATTCTTTTTAGTCCACTTCTTCCACCACTCAGTCTCCCAATCTATTTGGACTTCAGAGCAGGCCTAGGGGAAGGGAATCAATATACCCAAGCAAGGTTCTACCATCAAAGGGCTTTTGATACATGGGAAAGGGGAAAGGCTAAGGAAGGGAGAACATAGGCCTTCTTTTCACAACCTCGGGCTGTGGGGTTGGGGAGCAAAATAGGTCTAAGTTGAGTGGAGTGAGGGATGAGCAGGGCACACTGCACACACACGTTTATTTTTATCATTTTACCTTTGAGAGGGAGTGGCAAGGCACTACATGAGTATATTTTCAGTTTCACGTGGTTCCTCATAATGGAGGCAGAATAGCATGGTGGTTAAAAAACCTAGCCTTAGAATCAGACAGACCTGGGTTTGAATCCTGCTTTGGTCATTTGATTGCTGCTGACTTTGGGCAAATTACTACACTTTCGTTGTCTATGAAATGGGCATAATAATAGTACCTACTTCATGAGGTTTTGGGAAACCTCACATAAAGTGCTCAGTTACATTGTGGAGTACCTTGTAAGCTCTTAGAAGTATATTAACTATCATTAATACTATTTTTATTATGAATGCCTTCCAGAAGGTGCTTCCTGGAGGGGCCTGCCCCGCTGTTCCTGTGCAGAGTTCCAGGACAGCCTCAACCTCAGCTACCACCCCTCAGGCTTGAGCCTGCACCTCAGACCACCAAGCCGGGGAAGTTCCCCACCAGAGCAGCCCCTCTCCCAAGTCCTAAGCCCTGAGCCTCCTGACCCAGAGAAGCTTCCTGTGCCCCCTGCCCCTCCATCCAAGAGGCACTGCCGCTCACTCTCAGTGCCCGTGGACCTGTCTCGCTGGCAGCCAGTGTGGCGGCCTGCCCCCTCCAAGCTGTGGACTCCCATCAAGCACCGAGGCAGTGGTGGAGGGGGTGGGCCGCAGGTGCCTCACCAGAGCCCCCCGAAGCGGGTCTCCAGCCTCAGGTTCCTCCAAGCTCCCAGTGCCTCTTCTCAATGTGCCCCAGCCCACAGACCCTGCAGTCCCCCTTTCTTCAGCCTGGCCCTGGCCCAAGATTCCTCTCGACCCTGTGCTGCCTCCCCCCAAAGTGGCTCCTGGGAGAGTGATGCTGAATCCCTGTCACCTTGCCCACCCCAGCGCCGCTTTTCCTTGTCACCCAGCCTGGGCCCACAGGCAAGCCGCTTCTTGCCCTCTGCCCGGAGCTCCCCTGCGTCCTCCCCAGAGCTGCCCTGGCGACCTAGAGGCCTCCGAAACCTTCCCAGAAGCCGCTCACAGCCTTGTGATCTGGATGCCCGAAAAGCTGGAGTCAAGCGGCGCCATGAGGAGGACCCCCGGCGGCTGCGGCCTTCCTTGGACTTTGACAAGATGAATCAGGTGGGACCAGCCAGACTAAGGAAATTTGGATGGGAGCAGAGAGGCTTTGTTCTTTCACTTTTGGGCTGCCCTAGTCCCATGCTTTCCTGGCAGGGCCACCCCTGGAGCTCCTTTCCATCTGAGCTTTCACTAGGGCGATCTACCATCCGAGTTTGCCCAGGACTGTCTTGGTTTTAGCACTGAATTCTAAAGTCCCATGTTCTGTGAAACTTATCAGCCCTGGGGGTTCCAAAGAAACTGGGGTGAGACCCATGTTAAACTTTCCAACAGAGACCCCAGATTGTCTTGCTAGAGGCACTTTCCCTCCTCTCAGAATGCATAAGCCATTAAGTGCCATTATCTTTGCCCTGCCCCTCCTCCTAATGCTCAAGGCTGGTTTTGCCACTTGCCCTTCACTGCTTTGAGTGCGTCTGGGAGAATTTAAAACAGGCTGCTGCAACATTCATCTGTTCAGCAAATGTTTTTGACTTCCCAGTGTGAGTGCAGTTGTCTTATGCACTTGCCCACTTTTTGATATTCTTCCTTCCAGACCACTGGGTCACAAACCTCTCTGAGAACTTGAACACTTATTCACAGAGTCATCCATCCAACCAGTCAGCAAACATTTACTGAATACCTGCTATGTACCAGGCTCTGACTAGGCCCTGGCAGTACAGCAGTGAAATAGGCAGATGATATCCCTGCCCACATGAAGCTTATAAATGAGCTTCTAATCTTGAATCTGATAGAAACTATGGGCTCTTTCCTCAAAGAAATGTACATGTACACTGAATGTTTCAAATTTCATCAGGGGGTTCATAAACCTCTCCCTAAAGAAATACAGTTTGAGCCAGAGTGCTCTGGGATGTTAGTATTTTTATTTGCCTTTTTAACTTTGTTGTTTGTTTGACAGAAACCATACTCAGGAGGTGTCTGTCTCCAAGAAACAGCCCGGGAAGGCAGCAGCATCTCTCCACCGTGGTTCATGGCCTGTAGCCCTCCGCCCCTCTCTGCTTCCTGCAGCCCCATTGGGGGTTCCTCCCAGGTGCTGAGTGAGAGCGAAGAAGAGGAGGAAGGGTCCGTGCGGTGGGGGCGGCAAGCGCTGAGCAAGAGGACACTGTGCCAGCAGGACTTTGGGGACCTGGACTTGAACCTGATTGAGGAGAACTAAAACTGAGAGGCTACTTCCTGGGGCCACACAGACTGACTCTCTTATGGCTACTAACAAGTGTCGAGGCCCCAAGTCTGGGGACCCAGCCTGGGAATGGGGGTGAGTTGAGGGCTCCGACTCAGGGCAGCCGGAAATCTTCTCGCTCCAGGAAGCTCGACCATGCCGAGAGACTGTCCAGGACAAGATAAACAGAGCTGGTGGCGGGAGGGACAGCCCCAGAGCAGACCCTTCCCATGGCGGCCCTGAGTGTGAGTATCCCTGCCACCAAGAAAGCAGTGGGCAGGGAAGGAAGGGGTCTGCTGACCCCAGCTCGGGGAATTTCACTAGCCCCTTTGCTTCAAAGGGCACTTGTGTCTTAGAATTTGGCCAGGGTGGGGGGTTTCACTCAGCCTCCTAGGAGAAATTGTGTGAGAGAGTGTGTGTGTGTGCATGGGAGTATACTTGAGGAAAGGTGTGTTTGCGTAGCCTTAGGGAAGGAAGGCAGTTGCTCCTTAACAATAGAGCATCATGATACCCCCAGGATCTTGAGTTTTCACAGGACAGTGAGTTTGTTCTAGGAGTCAGAAGGAGGGCATCAAGTTTTTCTTTTTTCTAAGTAGTTCTAGAACCAGGCTTATAATCCATAAGCACTACTGGTTCTCAAAGGATTCTGTTTGGGGGTACTGCAGGGTCTCTTTAAGTGCTGTGACCTCAGCCAATGGTCTTTTCCTCAGGCCCACTCCCCTCCCCTAGATAGATTTAGTATTGGGGCTGGAGAGGGCTCTTCACATTGATTCTGAGCTGGCCTTTTTTTCTTATCAGATTGCCTAGGCTGTATACAACCTGCCTCTCACTCTAAGTAGATGCAAGCACATGTGGGTAACTGAGGCAGGGTTGAAGGGCTTCATCTCTTTCTTTCCCTCCTTACTTACAGTTGGGACCTTTTTCCCCTCACCCTTTGACCTTCGATGCATTTGGACTGCTGACCATTTAAAAGCAGCCTGTAATTGCTTCTTTTGTAAAGCAAGCAACCTCCCTTTACTTTTGCTGTTTGACTATTTGGATTTTCACATATTGGGCTTACCCAGAGTGGAGCGCACCTCTATAGGGCTGTGGTTGACACTGGGTAGACATCTGCATCTGTGTTGTGTGTGTGGTGTGGCTGACCAGTAGGTGAGTATTCCTGCGTGTGTGAGTTAAGCCACTCCCAGGCTGGTGCTCTCCTCCTGTGCCCAGTGACTGCCCAGTGGCAGCTCCAGCTGCCCTTCACTCCCACCTGCTGCCAAAGTCCCTGTGCTAATGGGATTACAAATACAAAAAGTGGAAAAAAAATTTTCGTAAACTTTGTTTTATATTAAAAAAATCCATAAGTCTGTGTGTGTGTTAAATATGAGGTCCTGCCTCTGTGGCTGTGTTTGAAAAAATAAAGTTTTATTAGAATAATCCATTTTCCCAAGCAACCTTGTGTTCAGCAGTGTCTTCTTCCTTTCTCCACAAAGAAAGGCAAGGAGAAAGCAGGGAGAGGGCCACCTAACTCTTCCAGCCCCTTCCTCTATGCCATAGTTGGGCCTTTGCTCTTTGAGGGCAGTAACTGGTTCCTAGGCCCTTTGGGGCCACAGCAGTCATATCCTTGAGGCCCAGGCTTCTGTTAAGGTTTTGGATTTTTACGGCAGTCTGATTTTATCTGTGTTTCCCTGGTACTTACACCAGCCTCCTCTGCTGTTTTTGGTTTGTTTGTTTAAAGATTTTTATTTATTTATTTTTAGAGAGAATGGGAAGGGGGGGAGAAAGAGGGAGAGAAACATCGATAGGTTGCCTCTCGCACACCGCCAACTGGGGACCTGGCCTGCAGTCCAGGCATGTACCCTGACTGGGAATCAAACCAGTGACTTTTCAGTTTTCAGGGACAACACCCAACCTACTGAACCATATCAGTCAGGGCTCTGCTGTCACTCTCACTTCCACCAGGTTGAAGTGAAGTATTAACATATTCTAGCTCCCTGAGAATGCTTGATGGTGCAGGCAGGGACTTGTCTAGATTGGTTTGTAGGCTTTGGGAAATAGGAGAAGGCAGGATGGTAGACTTGACCAGGAATCTTTAAAAAAAATGTTTTTTAATTTATTGATTTTTAAATAGAAACATCGATTTGTTCCACCCATTTATGTATTCATTGGTGGGTTCTTGTTTGTTCCCTGACCAGGGATTGAACCCAAAACCTTGGTGTATTGAGATGACACTCTAACCAATGAGCTGCCTGGCCAGGACAGGAATCTTTTTTAAAAAGTTTTCACGTGTTATGTACTGGAGAGGCAGAGATTTAGTCATCAGAATTCAGATTCTAAAGACCTGGGCAATTTCTGCATCCTAAAAATAATGCTTTTGTAAAATCCTACCAAGCAGAGCTTCTTTTTTGCCCTAGAAGATGGTATTTTTTCCCTAATGCTTCAATTTGGAATGTTCATTTATGAAAGAAGCTGTGTGGTTCACTTTCTTTAGACCTTTCTATTACACCCTTTCTTCTCCCTACGTTAGCATTCTTCTAATGTGTGTGGGTGAACTGTAGTTGCTTAGAGATCCAGGCAGGAGCCTCTGTCCCTAAGGCATAGCTTTTCTTTACCAATTTGGTGCTGACTTGCCAGGCAGCAAGAAGAGTCAAGTTGCTTAGCCTTCGTCCCAGTTTCCTGCTTCAAATTGGTGGCATTCATCATTGAATACCAATGAAGTGTGCAAGTGGACAGGATTGGCTTGACTACCTGGAGCAAGAAACTTGTGTGTTTGTGTGTTCATGGTGCAGGGGGGGAAGAAGTGGGGTGCAGGGGGAAGTGGGGACCATCTGGTTGGACTCCTGAATGGGAAAGAGCAGAAGGTTGGGCTAGGGAAAGGGGATGTTAGGGTGGGTGTAGAGACAGGAGGGGAAAGTGGGTCTAGATGGACAAAAACTTTTGAGGGGATGAAAATACACTCTTAAAGGAGTGAGAGTTGTCACCTGCTGTAGAAACAAAGGGAGGGGCTTGGGGGAGTGGGGCAATATGGCTTGTAGGTAAAGAAGCTCACCATTATAGGTTTTTTCCTTCAAAACTGCTGTTTCATCTGTTTCAGCAGGGGTAAAATTTGAACATCAGAAATAACTCCCACCAACCATTTTCCTTCTGTTCAATGTTTTTGTTGGTTTTGTCTACTGTTTATTTACTATAAGGTCAAATGTGATTTCCTTTACCATTCCTAAAGTCCTGCTGATGCAGGAAAGAATATAAACTACCTGAGGGCAAGGATTTTTTACACCAGAGTGTAAAAAATCTGTTTCCTTCTGTTCAATGTTTTTGTTGGTTTTGTCTACTGTTTATTTACTATAAGGTCAAATGTGATTTCCTTTACCATTCCTAAAGTCCTGCTGATGCAGGAAAGAATATAAACTACCTGAGGGCAAGGATTTTTTACACCAGAGTGTAAAAAATCTGTTTCCTTCTGTTCAATGTTTTTGTTGGTTTTGTCTACTGTTTATTTACTATAAGGTCAAATGTGATTTCCTTCACCATTCCTAAAGTCCTGCTGATGCAGGAAAGAATATAAACTACCTGAGGGCAAGGATTTTTTACACCAGAGTGCTGTGTCCCCAGCACTCTGAGAAGTTACTGGCACATGAAAAGTGCTTGCCGTATTTGTTGAATTAACTTTACATATTTGCCTTTCCAGCCCTGAGTTTATGCACATTTCTACCTCTGATGCTGTGAGAAGCTAGCTCTGAACACAAGTAATAGAGCTCCACATGAAAGAAAATTCCAGTGGAGAATGTTGATAGAAAAGCTGCAAGGCAGCAAGATCCTATATGGATTCACCCTTATTCCCCTGCTACTAACTACAACTGGTGGGCCATGTGCTTTAAGAGGTGTCTCTTGGCTCAGGAAAATATTCTTAGGCCTCAGGTTGGATATGGGAAATGGAAATTCCAAGGAAATGTTTCCTTGGTACTCTACAGGGTTAGTTCTAGACTCACTTTCCTAGGTGTTTTGTACTTTTATTAAAGCCAATAGTTGGTGCCTACTGTCTACCCTCTACCCCTAATCTTTGCTACAAGCCAAGTAGGTCAAGGGTAAAGATAAGGTTATGGACAGATTACTGGGTAGGCACTTTGTCATGAAGAAAGAACCAGTTACTGCCCTTTCCTGTTTGTAGGGCAGATCTATGAAAGAAATAGTTGCTTTTAGGGTAACAATCATGGATTGTTACTAGACCCCTTTATCTTCCTGGTTTGTGTACTCAGTCTCTGCATCCATAAGACCATGGAACCTGTGCTAGTCTCTGACATTACCAACATTAAAGATTGAAGTTTCCCATTACCTGGTGTGAAAACAACCTAAGCAAAAAATTCCATTCTCTCTCCACTACACCCCCTTTTCTAACAGGAGCTATCAATCTCCCACATTTAATGAGAATTTAGATTGAAGTGGTGGAGTTTTCTTTGTCCATTGTCCCACTACTTCCATGGTAAGATGAGGTGCCATTACTGAACCAAATAAAGTAATGTGTTTGTTTCTTTCCAATTCCCTTAAAAGTTGAGTTGAGAAACACGTGGACTTAATAACATTGGCAGACTTGGAAGGGGAAGAGGCTCAGTGGGTTTAGGTCAGAATACCAAGATGCTGGAAGCTCATTGGCCTTCAGCCAGTCAAAGAGTGGCATTATTACATCCAATGGATATAACGCATTAATTGGAAAGAAACCTGTGAAGTCATGGTAGTAGTATAGAATGGGGTGGTAACATGTTATGGGGCAGTGAAAAGATGGTCCAATGGACCAACAGGGAGGAAGTTTCCTAAAAGACAACGACAAGGCAGTACATGTTTTCAGGATAGGAAATCAATAGGTATTGGGGTGCTAACCTCTCAGCTCAAAACATTCACTTTCTGGGTACCTTGCCCCTCAGTCCCCCACCCCAGTAAGCTTTGGTATCCAACGATGGTAAGCTAAAACCTTCTCTGATAGGGGACCTCCAGAATGAAGGTTGGGACTAGGGTGGTGCCCTGGAGGACTGCAGGACCCGCCCAGTTCCCCACCCCTGCCAAAACTGCAATTCCCCTCCTTGTCGCGGGGGGCACTGCAGGCCCCGGGGAGGTTGGGGCGGAGCGCTCCGAGGGGCCCGGAGCTGCCACCCCGCTCCGGAGCGCGGGGGGCGCTGTGCCGGGGCCCGGGCTGCAGCTCCGCTCCCGGCCACCGGGGGCGCTGCGCGGCGCCGGTGGTTGGTGGTGGCTGTTGGGGGGGTGGGGGGGAGCCGCGGCCGCGGGTGGTGCGGAGGGAGGCCTTGCGGGCGGATCGGGTGCTCGGCGGCGAAGGTGGTGGGAGGCGGCGGGCGGGAGCACGGGTCCGGCCGGCCCTGGCGATGGCGGACGCAGCGGCCTCCCCAGTGGGCAAGCGGCTGCTGCTTCTGTTCGCGGACACCGCGGCCTCCGCTTCGGCCTCGGTGCCCGCGGCGGCGGCGGCGGCGGCGGCGGCGGCAGCGGCGGGAGGAGATCCGGGGCCTGTGCTGCGCACTCGGGCCTGGAGGGCCGGCACGGTGCGGGCCATGAGCGGGGCGGTGCCCCAGGACCTGGCGGTGAGTGACGGCCGAGACGGGCACTCGAGGCCGGGGCTGCGGGGCC